GGGTATGAAACGGTAGAGGACCTATTTAAAGGGCTAGTTCAACTTTTAGAGCTTGGGCTGGTACCTTGGGAAACTATGGACGTAGGCACAGTGCGCCCGAACAGTCCCCCATTACGACAGCTATTAGAGATCGGGAGATGGGGGAGGCGCAGACACAAAAATGCAGAGAGGGTTCGACTCCTGGCCGCGGAAATTCTTTTGTTTTATTGGCTGAACTAGCCCTTTAAGGCCATCGAGGCGGCACTTGGAGAAGATAATCCGACAGACGCCTTCCGACCCCTTGAAGCTTCGATCGATCGCAGAGTGAACGAAGCTGAAGCCCTGGATGGACTTGCTGAGAAGTAGGAGGTTGTAGATGATCTTGATCACGATTTTAGGATCGAGAAAACCGCTCCCGGACCGGATGCCCGGCACCTGAAACGTGGAGCCGAAAACCTGCTTGATGACGTCAGAGCTCATGGGAAGAAGGCGAGAACGGCACTGCAGGTCGCCCAGAAAAAGGTTAGCCGAACGTCTTCAAGATGACGAGACATTCTTAGGCCGACCTCCACGCGCGGTTCAAGCGATTGGCCGATGAAGCCTATGGTCTTTGCGCTGCCCGTGAAGCTGATCTTGATAGAGATCAAGGGCATTTGAATCGAGAACGGCTTCAAGCGAGTAAGTCTCAATGTGATCAACAGGTTCATCACCACCTTGCGAGCTCTCTGCAGAGATCGAGGCGTACTGGGCAAAGACGGGGTACGAGCTGGAAAACAGCTCTCCGATGAGTTGAGCCGATTTTGCCAGAAGAGCAAGCCGAACAGACCCACGGACGGCAGATGAACTGGGGGCTGTTCCGAGAACGGTGGACAAGATGAGGTAAGCTAGCAAGCCTAAGTCAAGCCTAAGCTCCTCTTCTTCCAGATCCGTCGACCTTAAGCTGGCCGAAAAAAGGACGAAGCCGAGCGCACGCCACGCAAGAAGACGAACCGCCTGGCGACGAGGCTAAACTCCTTATACTCGGTGGGACATTCGTACATTAACTTCAACAATTTCCCTTGTAGGACCTCAACGACCTCAGACCCGATCGGGCGCAGCGCAGAGAGAGCTGGAGCGCTCAGCGCGGGCAGTGCGAGGAGATGGAGTCGGGCTCGGCGACCAGGACAAGGACCTGGCTGATGTTTGGGCGTACTCTGGGAGGCCGCGATCAAACCCGATGCCATCACGCCCGAACAGTTCGACAACAACCAGCAGCTATCGACGACTTGAAGAGGGTCAGTTGGTAGATGTTAATTACGCTAACTTACGGAAATTACGGAAATTTTGCTTGTTCTTTTAAAGGGCAGGGAATCCCGATTTCCCTTGGTTTCCGGAGTTTTCAGGATTTTCGGTGTCAGTGTGTTCCGCGCTGTGGGCATTTTGGCTCCCCCGTCGGGACAGAGGCTGTCAGGATTTTTGCCTGTCGGGGTTCCCCATGTAAGCATTTTCCATGTCGGGATTCTGTCTGTCCCAGGAGGCTTGATCTGTCATTATTTTGGCCAGTCAGGCTTTTACCTCTCAGGATTTCCGGTTTTGGCTGTATCGGTCTTTTTTTCGCTGTCGGCATTTTGGCTTTCGGAATCGCGGTTGTCGGCGTTATTTTGAGCATTACAGTGTTGTCGTGTCCACCTATCGAGATTTTCACTCGTCGGGATTTCTATCTGTCGGGATTTTCACTGTCAGGGATGCAACCCGATCAGCATTTTGGCTGTCGGTATTTCGAATAAGTCTCTAAGCACACCAATCGACACTAAAAACTCAGCCAAAAACCAAGCCCAGATCCACGAATTCTTTCCAAGCTTTAAAGCCAGCGCCAGAGCTCTGCGTTAAATATGGGCTTGTATAGTCGACTTTTTATCGGTCCGATGGGCCAGTGAGGTGTGTGTGAATCATTTTCCGCAGCTGTCGAACCCTGGATTCTCCCCAAAAACATCTATGCCAGGCCTTGGTGTCCAAAGATTCGATATCCGATCGAATGAACGGATCTGGCATCCATTCCACGCTCGCCCCCATTGCTACCAATTCCGCTGGTATTCCGGTCTGCCACCCAGCGCCCTTGGGTGTTATTACCCCGTCATTAGCTTGCCCCGTGCTCCGCTATGCTAATCACGATCACTGCGATATTGATGCCGTTCCTATTGTGGAGAGAAGGGGGGTTTGACTCGGGCATAGGCTTAACCCTAGGCTTGAGCCAGGCTTGGACTTAAGTTCGGCTTAGGCTCCAAGTATTAGGCTTAGGCACTTCTATCAGCTTAGACTTAGGCTTAGGTTTAAGCTGGGATTAGCTTCGGCTTGGGGCTAGGCTTAGGCTTAAGTTGGGCTTTAGGCTTAGGCATAAGCCTAGGCTTATTTTAGAACAGCTTAGGCTTAGCTTAAGCAGCTGATTTTTTAAACCATCCATTTCAGCTAATCAGCAAGGGGCAAACGGAGGCTCGGCGACCGCCACAAGAAGATCAACGCCATCGGTGAGGTGGCCAGGGTGGAAAGGTATCTTCTAAAATTCAAAATTTTACTCGTGCTTTAGCAGAGCCAATGCGGTGATCAACGACATTCATCAGTTGCAAGGTCCCCGGCGCTGCAGAGCGATAATGGACTTTCAGAGCCGAAAGCTCAGAAGCCGAGGTGAGCCGAGGCTTCTGAGCTCATTCTTAAGCCTAACTCAAGCCTCACCTACTTTTTTTCAGGCTCTGCGTCAGCTCAAAGACGGCTATCGACAGCCGAGCGAGATAAGCCGTCCAGGGTGAATGCAGGGCGCTGATCAAGTCCTGCGGCTCCTGAAGCTGACACCAAGCAGCTGGTACGTTGAGCCACTTTCCAATTTCCCGCTTTAGAGCCAAATGCTACAAGACGTTTCCAAGGCCCTAGGCGATGTCGATGCTCAGATTGGCGCCCTCGACAGCTCGCTGTTGATGCCGCCTTACATGCAGATGGGAGCGCTTCAACAATGCCAGAGGTACGCTAAAGCCTAAGCCAATCTTAAGCCAAGCTTAAGCTAATCCTAAGAAAAATCTAAGCCCAGCCTACGCCAAGCTAAGTTGGAGGCTAAGCTGAGCCTAAGATTAGACCTAGGCTAAGCTAAATCTATGGCTAAGCTAAGCCTAAGTGAGCCAAAAGGGAGTTTAACTGGATCCAAAGTGAAGCTATGTTACAAGCCAAGCCTAGAGTTAAACTAAGCCTAAATTAAGCTAAGCTAAGCACAAGCTAAACTTACGTTAAGTCTAGCTAAGCGCAAGCCAAGCCTGGCTTCTAGGACCTCCAAAACTGGCTCGAACAAGCCGAGGGCGGTGGCCGCCCCAAGCTCCTGGCAGACGCCAAAGTCGCTCGTGCTCAACTCCAGAGCTTGATGTCATCCTGAAGCATATTGAAGACAAGCAGGCGTCAGTTGATGGCTTCCAGCAGATGATCGGCAAGCTGGCCGCCCTCGTTCTTCTGAGTCCGGACGAGAAACGGGCGCTGTCGGCAAAGGCTGACGAGGCAAGAATGTAGCCCCACGAATTCTAACCTTCCTTTCTTCAGATTACCGGTCGTATGAGGAACTGCTAGATGGTGCTGCAACGCGGCCAAGCGCCTCTACGAGACGCTGTAGATCTGGCGGAGAAGCTGGGGGAGGAACCGGACCGTTCAGAGCAGTGGATAGGGAGCCCGGAGAAACAGTAGGGGGTTTAAATCGGCTGGCTTAGACCTACAGCCTAAGCCCAAATCTAAGCTTAAGCCGAAGCCCAAACCTAAGCTGAGTCTGGGACAAGCCTAAGCTAAGTCTGAGATAAGCCTAAGCCTAAGCGTAAGCCCAAACCCAAGCCTAAGCCTAAGCATAAACTAAAAGTAACCTGAACCGAAGCCTGGGCTTAGCCTAAGCCCAATACGGATAAACCTAAGCACACGCCTAAGCTTAAGCCTAAGCCCAAACTTAAGTCTAAGCCTAAGCCCAAGCCTAATCCTCTCTTCTTTCAGCATCTCCCAACTCGGTAAACTTCCCACAGACACCGAACGTCTCGTGGCCCAAGTCCGAGACGTTGGGGCCATCAGGACGACATCGACGGCAAGATCGAAGCCGTTCAGAAGCTCTGCCAGGTTTGCTACCAGTAGATGATCACCTCAACTTGCTTCTACTTCAGCTCGGTCCTCGCCTCGCCGCCCTCGTCAGTGTCGAAGAAGCCGGGGCGCTTGAAGCCCAACTTACAGCTGCAACCGCAAAGCATGGACAACTTGCCGACAGGTTTGAAAAGACTCGTAGAAGACGTCGATCGCTTCCAGAACTGAACAATGTCGGATCGGGCTCGAGGCGATGGCCGAGCAGGTGTCGAACTTTGAACAAGACGTCGAAGCGTTGGCTGAGTGGCTGACAGCTATAGAGCAGGATATGGCTGATGTTGAGGAGCTGCCGATCAATCCTGACGAGTTGTTGGAGCAGACAAATTTGCTATCGGTACGCAGCTTCTTATCAACGTTAATAGAAAGCCTAAGCCTAAGCCTAAGCTAAGCCAAATTCCTTCAGGAACTTGTCAGCGTCACTGAGAAAGACCGCTCGTCTCCAGCGTCTGCCAGGTTGGGAAGGAGTTATGCCGAGAAGCGGCTGCGGAAGATGCTCTTGCACTGCAGGCCCCACGTCGAGGAAGTTGAAACACCGGTAGGTAGCTTAAAAATCCAGGAGTTCTAAAAGCCTAAACCCAAGCCTGGGTCTAAGCCAAGCCTAAGCCAAGCCTCAGCTTAAACTTAAACCTCAAATTCAGATACATCCGAGTGGCTGGTTGCGCAGATGAAGCTGGCCCTCCTCACCCGAGCCATCCCCCTGTCTGATCAATTCCATGACGGATACGACGGCGTGATGGCTTGGGTTGAAGCAGTCGAAGCCGATCTACACCAAGCTGATGGCTTCGACATTGACACCCAGCAGCAGTTGATCCACTCGTTGGAGATTGACATTCAGGAATGGAGACCCGAGGTGAGGTTGAGCTAAATCTTAAGCGAAGTGGGCTAAGCTAAGCTAACCAAGCCCAGGCGAGGTCGAGAACAAGCTAATTTAAGCGTAAGCTAGGCCTAAATCTAAGCCTCCGCCTAAGCCTTAGCGTAAGCCCAAGTCGAAGCCTGAGCCTAAGCCTAAGTTAAGCAAAGTTTGACCTTCTGAAGCCCAAGCATAATCAGAAGCGTGCCTGAAGCTCAAGCCTAAGCCTAAGCCTAAACCCTAGCCAGGCCTAAGCCCCGGTGAAGAGAACGCTATGCTTCACCACCTGATTCACACTTTACGACACAGATTGATACGACCGCTCATAGCTCGGCACTTTATATCGATTCTATCCCCTGACCACCTTGAAAACGTTGTAGGTCGACGCCCTCGTCGCCGCCAGCTCCCAACTCCAACAGCTCGCCGGGCCACCCCGTGCCGACGAACTCTACGCACACACCGCCGAGATGCAAAAGCGTGTCAACCAGATTGCCGACCAGGTCAATCGACGTGCCGAACGGCTCGAACTCGCTGACCGGGCAACCCGAGGAGTGGTAGATGAACTCGACTACGCCTTGGAGTGGTTCAACGACGCCAAGGAGCGCGTGATGCATGCCGAGCCGTTGGCTATTGATCCGACGTACTTGAATGTGAGTCAGGGCTCGGATTTAGAAGACGTACATTTAGACGCAACTTCGGCATCAGAAGGCGTTGAACGAGGACTTGCTGGATCAGCAGGCAAAGTTGAGGAACACGGCGATTGACTGCAGGAAGGTGGCCAGGCAACTTGGGTCTGATGGGGGGCAGGATGCGCTGCTACTTGAGAAGGTAGGAGGAGCTCGATCTCTCTCGCTCTCTGGCTGTCTCTGGTTCTCTCTCTCTCTCTCTCTTTCCTCTCTCTCTCTCTCTCTATATATATATATATATACATCTCTCTCTCTTTCTTTCTACACCCCTACCTTTCAGGCGGAAGTAGCCATGCAGCTGAGCGACGAAGTCTCCCAACTCTGCAAGGAAAGAACAGAAATTCTTGGCCAAGTAAGCCTCCCTGAACTCCTACAACTTCTCGTTTAGACCCTCGCCCACGTTGACGAGATCGGCCATTCGTTCGAGGACATGAACCGCTGGCTCGATGAGGTCGAGCGAGACCTAGCCGGTCAGCCATCCGTCACCACAGCAACGCCTTCGCATGAGTTGGCCAAGCAGCAGCAGCACAACTTGGTGAGTTGGAGGGAGAGAGAGAGAGAGAGAGAGAGAGAGAGAGAGAGAGAGAGAGAGAGAGGGGGTGAGAGAGAACGAGAACTTTTTATTCCAGGAACTCTCCGCTGTCATCGCTGCCCAAACCCCCTTGGTCGAGCGCTTCGAGTACAACGTCAACTCCCTTGCCGAACTCGTCGGCCCGGCCGATGTCCAAGCTCTGCGCCAAATCTACGATCAAATTGTTGGCCGCTACAATGACGTGAAAAACCAAGTGAAATCAAGAGGAGAAGCCATTGACAGTATTCTGGATGCGACAGAGGGTACTTCATCACATTTATAACGATTTATCCAATTTTAGCATTCGGCGATCGTCTCGACGTCTTTTTGGCGACGCTGGAAGGAGCCGCAGAATCGCTACGTCAGCCAGCAGCTGTGTCGGCAGATCCGGGATTGCTCCAGAATCGCATTGCGGAGAATGAAGCGCTTTTGGACTCGTTGAGGGAGAAGGTACGTAAGCAGAAGCCTAAGCCAAGCCTAGACCTCACCCTAAGCTAAGCCTAAGTCGAAGCCGCAGCTTAAGCCTAAGCCTGTGCCTAAGCCAACGAAACTTTTTCAGGAAGCCGCCCTCGACGCGATGAAGGAACGAGCAAACGAGCTGCTCGCCAGGGCACAGCCAGGCGATGCTGCCGCTTCAGAAGTGGCCGCCAAGATCCAGGCCCTCGATCAGTTATGGGGCGAAATCGGAAGAGGTGCCGAGATGCGCGGCGCGTTCCTCAACGACGCGCTCGCCAAGGCGCACCAATTCTGGGCCGAGCTCGACGACTGCCAGAAGGCCATCGACGACTTGAAGGTGGGTTTTGCGGGTTTAGAAGGTCTGAAAATAGTACGGTACGGTAGGGAATGAGGCAATTTAAGCTTCCAGTATTGCGTTACGATATCAAAATTACCATAAAAATATAAGAGATAGGGGAAAGGTATCAATTTACGACATGTAATGAAGACAGCATGGCTAAAGATAATACTAAATTTTACTATTTTACGAGTAAAACCTATGTTTTTTTAAATCTATCCAATTACGACACTTAATTCCAATTACGGCATATCTGTTTACGACATGTAAATGATGAATAAAAAAATAAATTATTGAATTGCCTCATCAAAATCCGGGTTATTTCGAAAATGTCGAAATTTTATACTGTCGTAAGTTCGAATTTCGAAATTTACATAGGCAAATCTCGCGCAAAAAGGGCCAAATCGTATGCAAAAATGATGTCGATATTACGATTTTCGACGTTTTATCGGCATTATGAAATTTTCGATTTAGAAAATTCCAGCTTTGGGTTTTTGTCTCGAAATTATGGATGTCGACATTATGGGTTTCGACAAGCTGACATTTCGAACATTATTATTTTCGACATAATGAGATTTCCGACCAATACCGACAATCCAAAATTCTAGGCCCGCCTCGAGACCCTGGAGCCAGCCATCGGACAACCAGAACGACTACGCGAGCAGCAACAAGGCCTCACCGATATCGATGGGGCAGTGAGAGACACAAGGCCGCATCGACAGCCTTCGGTATGGACTGTGGTCTAGGGGATAGCATGCGCGCCTCTGACCCACACGACCCGGGTTCGACCCCCGTCGCAGGCACCTGCTGTTGCCATTGCCTTCAGATGGTGACTTCCTTGAGACCTGCTACAGTAACTGGCCCCCTTGTTTGACAGTCTGCCCAGCCATTGGGATGGATTGATAGAATTGGGGTCACATTTTAGGGTTTTGTTGTTATTTGAAACCGCACTGGTTCTAAAAAAATACTGTAACTCGGTCGTTTTAGCTCCGATCACTATGTATTTTTGCCGTAGATGCCAGAGGCTATAAACTACACACAGAAAAAATTTCAGGGTTAAAGATTGTAAAATTATTTAAGAAAACATTTTTACATTTTTCAGAAACTCTTCAATGGTGTAATTTCGTTTATTTACGTCCGATTCTTACGAAAATTCTACATTAATTGTCAAAAGCTGTGAACAATATTCCAACCAAATCTTCTATTTAAATTTTAACAAATAAAAAATTGTTCACAAAAACTAATTTTATACGCATGGTGGACTTGCTCGACTTTTCTTGATTTTTCTCAATTATTTTTGAAATCGATTATCTTAAAAGATTTTCGTGGAGACGAGCTAGCAAAGGCCATTTAGGAAGTGACAAAACCCCCATTTTTTAGACATGCCGAAGCCCAACTTTGGCCATCAGTCCCCGAGGAGGAGCAGATGGTGGTTGGCCAGCAGGTTGAGATGGTGGAAGCGGGTCTCGGCACGATCACAAAGGTATCGAGATCATTTAATTAAGATTTTATTGTATTTAGCTCTTCTCCGACAAGAGCCTCCACCTCGGCAAGGCCATGGAGGAGGCCATGCAGTTCCACGACGACCTGTCGGCGCTGCACGAGTTTTTGGAGGCTGCTGAGCAGGTAAAAAACTTCTCTCTCTCTCACACTCTCGCCCTTTCTCTCTCTCTAACTCCCTTTTTAGCGCCTCCACTCTATGGGCCCAGCCAAAAACGTGGCCGTCGAGGGAGATCCAACCCAAGCTCGAGGAGCTCCAACTTTTCCGGTGAGCATGAGGTCGTAGATGCTCATTTAAGTCTGAAATTACAGAGCCGAACTTGACGATCACGCCGTGTTGAAAGAAGAAGTCAACCAGAAGGCACACGGCCTGACAATTGGCCGTCCTGCGCATCAAACTGCCGCAGTGAGAGTGCCTATCGCCGGTAAGTTCTCCTCCTCACTCATTCTCCCTCTCTCTCTCTCTCTCTCTCTCTCTCTCTCTCTCTCTCTACCTCCCCATTCCAGAACTCAACGGTCGATGGTCCAAACTCTACGGCGACATTGCCGACCGTGAGCACAAGATCGAGAGGGCCATGCTCGAGATGGGACGCCTTGGCGAAGCCGTAGCCCAGCTGACCGCTTGGATCGAAAAGACCCGGTCCACCGTCCACGACATCGCCGCCCAACCCTCCACCAACCTCCGCGCCGTCGAGATCGCGCAGTGCAAGCTAGCCGTCGTCAACAATGACGTTCATGCTCATGAACCAAGCATCAACTCGATCAATGCCACCGCCAACAAGCTGAGGGCCCAGGGCGGAGACGCTACAACCACCAAACGTGTCGAGGAGATGAACGAAAAGTGGGCCGGGCTGGGGAAATGAGCTGACAGCTGTCGGCACGCCTTGAGCGGGCCAAGGAGCTGCGGAAGACATTGGGGGCGAGATGGAACGGTGGTTGGCCTATGTGGAGCATGTCGAGTCTCAGCTGGAGACGACAAGGCCCGCGGGAGGACTTCCGGAAACGGCTCGCCAACAACTGGACGACTTCTTGGGGTTGAAACGGGAGGTGAGTACTTGTTGAAATTGTTGGGCTAAGCCTAAGCTAAGCCTAAGCTCAGCCTAATCTAAGCGTAAGCTAAGCCTAAGCTAAGCCGAAGCTAAGCCTAACCCTAAGCCATTTAGGTCGACCGCAACACCTCCCCCCTCGAAGCCCACGTGGCCATCACCGAGGAGTACTTAGCCGAACACCCCCGAAGTGAGGGATCGTGGATTGGGAAGAGTGCCCATACGCTCCGCCATAAATGGAATCGATGCCGGGATCTTCTATCGGATCGGGAGAAGAAGCTGGGGGCTCGCCTTGGAGGAGGCCATCGCCCTTGATCACCAGATGAACGATACGGCCCACTGGGTGTCTGGGATTGAGCAGATGCTGGCTGGTAATTTCTTAAAGATTAGAAAAATTGAGGATACGTCAAAAAATTAATCATTTAAAGTTCGGCAATAAAAAAAGACTTTTTGGTAGTTTTTAATAAAAATTACCACGTTTTACGCTTGAAACACAGGAGTAAAGCCCAAAAACCTGCTTTTAGAACTCGCCCCGTTGGTCGTCTACCCGAGGTCCTCGGAGAAGCAAAAGCGAGCAGCAACAGATGGCGGCGCAAGTGGCTGATCCAAGTCAGTTTAATACGCGGGGAGCACGAACTCAAAATTCCAGAAAAACCGAGATGACCGAGATGCAAGCGACGGGCACGCGGATGCAGTACTACTGCGAGAAGAAGGACGCGATTCCGATCAAGAACGGGCTCGTCTCGTTGCGGCACCGGTTTGAAAAGGTTGCGCAGAAGGTTGCTGAACGTGGAAAGGTAGGAGAACTAGGGGCAGGGCTTTGTTCGTTTTTCAAGGGCTTTTGAACGCTGTAGTAAATCATTCCGACCCGATACCTATTGACGGGAGTTATGGGTCGGTTACGATTTTTTTCAGCAACTCGACGCACGTGCAAGGGGAGACGGACTCATGGCTGGAGAGCGCGAAGGATCTCGAGTTCTGGACGGCCCAGATGGGGATCGGGACTCGACGAGGAGGCACCTGGAAGTGCTAACCATCAGAAGCTGCTGGAATGGAGGGACGAGGCAAAGGTATAGGCAGGAAGGAGATCTTTATCTATCTCGTTCTCTCTCTCTCTCTCTCTCTCTCTCTCCTTTTTTTACTCGCTCTCTCTCACTCACTCACTCTCTCCCTTCCCTCTCTCATCCCGATCTTTCAGGAAGCCCAAGCCGAACTCACCGCCAAACGCCCGGAATACGAGGCGGTACGCAGAAGAGGTCAATCAGTCTGCGACCACGCCCCCAAGGCTGAACGCCGCGAACTTGAGGGACGATCCGACGGCCTGAAGAAGGAGTGGGAGCGGCTCGACAAGATGTCGAAGGAACGTCTCCGAAAGGCCGAAGAAGCCGTACTGGAGAGCGGGGCCTTCGAGGATGCCATCGCCGACCTGGAGGCGTGGTGCGATGCTGAACTCCTTGATGCCGAGACGGACCTGGCTATGGATGTAGGGATTTTTGAAGAACGTGATGACTTCTGTTTTAGGGCGCGAAGGTGCACGGCGACGTGGAGACGGTCAGGGGACTGCAGGAGAGAGATGCAAAGCGAGGCGAAGAGAGAGCGGTGAAGAAGGGACAAGTCGAGAGGCTGCTCAAGAAGGCTGACGAGCTCGTGCAAAGGGGAGTGGCTGAGGGAGAAGCTGTACTTGAAGCCAAGCACAACCTGCAGGACAAGTGGAGCGCGGTAAGTCGACTTGGTTAGAGGAAAAAGCTTTTGAAGCCTGTGAAGCCGGTTCAAGTTCTCTCTTCGGAAATATCCGGAAAATCCGTTTTCAGAGCTCAAGATTCTCAAGCTCCTCAAGCTCACCTCAGACTCCTAGAAGGCTTTTTTAGACCAGTTTTTTGCGTTGATTTTGAATCTGCAGCTAATTCTTGACAAAAGCTTTTTATTCTCGAAATATAATCGATTTCTCACGTTTTTCTCGAAAATTCACAACCCAAGATTCATGCTTCTGAAGCTTCTGAAGCCCGCCTGAAGCTTGAGTGAAGCTTTTCTAAACCAGTTTTTGTGCTGTTTCTAAATCTGCATTCATTTTTCGCCGAAAATAAACTTTGGAGATGTAGCTCATTTTTTTAGAAGTTTAGTGAAATCCGCCAAAAATTGCCAGGTTTTTGCATAAAACCCGGTTTAACTCAAAAATATAACCCGTATCAAAAATCGGTATGCAGATTCGGAATCAGCGCCAAAAACTGGTCTAGAAACTCGATTTCAGGGCAATAAATCAATCCAAAATTCCAGATCGAAGCCGCCGCGGACGCGCGCGCGGAAGCGCTGCGGAAGGCGATGGAACAAAGCCGAAGACTTTGACGCGAAGGCCCATGGGCTGTTGGCTTGGATGGACGGGCTGGACGACAGGTTGAAGGCCGCCGGAAAGGAGCCCAACCTCGACAAGGCCATCCCGCCGCGCAGGCCGTGCTCGACGAGTTGAAGGTGGGCAGCGTCTTCAAGAAGGTCATCCATATTTAGGCAGAGGAGGCCAGGAAAGAGGTCGTGCTCGCTCGAGGTCAAGACATTCTCCAGAAAGCGCATCCGAATGCCGAGCAGCCGATGCGGCATTGGAATCGACTGCTGGCGGCTAGGTGGAAGGTAGATAAACTTTTGGTTGCACTGCTTGGAGTCGAGAGATTTTATTGCATTTAGAAATCATTTAATTACTTTATGTTAGGCACCTCTAAAAGATAATTTTCCGCTTTCAGGAAGTCGAAGATCAAGCCCTGGAAAGGTGGCCGACCTCAGGAGCAGCGCCAGAAGAGCGAGGAGCGCGAGAAGGCCATCAAGGTAAGCCTAAGCGAAGCCCAAGCTTAAGCTATTATACCGTATCCCTTCAGGAGCTGATCACCTTCGTCACCAAGAAGCGCGGTGAGCTGGGCGACATGATCGCGGCGCCGACGCCTGAAGACTTGGATACGGTAAGTGGAGCATAATTTAAAATTTACTAGATTATGGCTTAAATTAGCGATTTTTAATAAGCTTAAAGTTCTTGAATTTTCCCTTAATTCACGACTTAAACCAATTAAACCAATTCAGGAGGACGCGCTGCAGCTAGTAAGTTTCCTCCCCCTAAAAGTTGCCCTTTATTTGTCCGCCAAAAATTCCTTCTGTTGCCGTTTTCATTTTTATACGGTGTACTGCCAGGGCACGCGACGCGTTGCCTTGCTGAACGCCTTGAAGTCGTTGTACTTCCCGCTGTGCCTAAAAATGGTGTTTTCGCGAAAATTCATGGAATTTCAGGTAGACCGAATGCTGCAGGACTACGAACTGCTCGACTTTGGAGCTGCGAGAGAAGCAGCCGGATGTCGAGGGAGACGATCCAGGGCGGCCAGAAGGATAAGTAGGTTTATTTGGATCGTAGCGTAGCGTACAGTAGCGTAACGTAGCGCAACGTACCGGAATGCAGGACAAAGTAACGTAGCTTAGCGTAGCGTATTACCGTATTACCGTATCGTAGTGCAGAGTGTCCTAACGGAGCTTAGCGTACAGCGTGGTAGCGTCTGGTATCGTATGGTGCCGTAGCGTATCGTAGTTTTGATGCCGTAGTGTCGTGTAGTGTAACGCACTGCGGCGTAGCCTATCGTAGCGTATGGCATAAGCTTCCGTAGCATAATTCACTAGATACCTTAGGCTGGCGTATCGTATCGTATCAAAGCGTAGCTAAGCTAGAGCCTACAGTATGCGTCCTACCGTAGCCTACGTAGCGTAACTTCCGTTTTCCAGGAACCCTCGTGCCTCTCAACTCTCAGATGAGTGGAAACGAGTGTGGCTCGATGCGATGGGCCACAAAAACGCGCTCGACGAGGCCAAGGGAGATGCTAGAGGAGATGAAGCGGCTGGAGGGGATGGGAATGGGAGGATTGGAAGGAGAGGTACGAGGCAAAAATCTAGACCGCTTACCGTATCCTAGCGTACTGTGACGTAGTATATATACAAATTTTTCCTTCTCGTTCAGATACTGCGACTGGAACGACCACGCCAAAGGAGGGTGACAGATCTGTTCCGCCGGATCGGACCGGACAGCCACCGGAAATCGTGCCAAGACAGGTTCATTGATGCCTATCAATAGTCGTAAGTTTCACGGATCTAACAAAATAGTTATTCTCGCCTTGGCTTGTTTTTCGTGCACTTCCGGTCCGAACCCACGACCCGTTCCCTTCCAGGCTTCCCCACCTCACGACTCGAAAATGGAAAAAGTGGCCGACCTGTTCGACAACAACGGCTTCATCAACCATAAGGATTTCACCAACGCCCTACGCTTTGATAAGACGGTATTAGCTGATTTTTTAGCAAATTTAACCTTATTTTAGCGTCGCGTCGAGCCTCGTACTGACGGTGGCGGATCGCGGTTGAGATCGAGCGCCAGGTGCGCGGATGACCGTGCTGTCAGCCTTACAAGATTGAGAGGTTCGCTGAAGGACAGTATCGGGTGAGTACGCCGAGGATACGTTACGCTATGTTACGCTACCTAGCGCTAGGGTTGCGCTACGGGATACGATAGACTGCGTAGCGCGGCGTAGTGTTAGAGTATGCAAAGTAAAGTAGATAAATTAATTGTAAGGGATAAGATTCGATAAATACGTTAGGATACGTTAGGGTACGCTGGGACTACCTTACGGCAAATTATACTTAGCGCGATTGACCGTGTCACGGTACGCAGCGATACGTTACGTGGCTGTTACGATATCCTGCGTAGTTTGGCGTAGTGTTAGGGTATACAACGAGACGCGAGATATCGGGAGTATGCCGGGATACGCTGAGAATACGCCGATACGTGACACTACGTTACGCTTACTCCAACTACCCTTTCCGTTAAAATAGACTGCGTAGCGTGGCGTAGCGTTACCTATAGCATGGGCAGCGCGTTGCACCTATAGCATGGGCAGCACGTGCGCTATACGTTAAAATAGACTGCGTAGCGTGGCGTAGCGTTACCTATAGCATGGGCAGCGCGTTGATATCGGGTCAGCACGCTGATATACGTCAGGCTACGCTAGACTACGTTACAATACGTGGCGCCACGTTACGTTATTTTTGATACCGCTACGTGATATTATGGAGTTTTATTACGGTACTGGGCTTTTACTGTACGCCACGTTAAGCTACAGTATGCTACAATCACATACCTTTCGGCTACGTCGGCTACGATAGCGTTGTTGCCCGGCGCTAGCTCTTCTAAAGCAAAACTTAATCCCAGATTCGTATACAGTACTCTCTGGTCGTCCACCGTACGCCTAACGCCTTTGGACAGGTTACCGGGAAAATTGTGTTAATCGTGGTGCGGAGATCGGCTTCTACGGCTGTCCCTTTTCGCATGAATACTGTTAGCGAATTTAGGCCACGCCCTTAGAGAACCAGAAAATCAACTAATTTCAAATATTTAGTTCGGCGATACTCAAATCAAGCGGATGGTACGGATATTACGTTCGACGGTGATGGTTCGAGTCGGAGGAGGATGGGTGTGTCTCGAGGAGTTCTTGAAGAGCCACGATCCGTGTCGGGCGACGAGTAAGTGGGAGAGAGAGAAAGAGAGAGAGAGAGAGAGAGAGAGAGAGAGAGAGACAGAGACAGAGACAGAGAGAGAGAGACAAGAGAGAGAGAGAGAGAGAGAGAGAGACAGACAGAGGGGGGACAGGGAAGACCGATAAACATCATATTTTAGAACGCCGTAACGATGTGCTGGAACAACCAGTATGGCAGCAACGAGCGCACTCCTCCGTGACAACATGGAGATGTTCACCAGAGCCCGTCATGCTCGCTTTGGGTCTTCCAGATTCTGAGCCGCAATTTGCGGTGCCGGGACCGATTATTAAGATCAGGTGCGAGAGAGATGAGTGTGTGTGAGGGATAGATGGCGAGAGAGAGAGAGAGAGAGAGAGAGGGAGTTAGATAGAGCGAGAGAGAGCGAGAGGCCGTGCGAGCGGGAAAATGAGAAAAGTGGAAGAGAATGCGCCAAAGTGCGCTAGAGAGCGAAAGAGTGAGCACGAGCGAGAGATAGAGATTTTCAAGAATCAATTCAATTCAAATTCTCCTTTTTCGGAGAAAAAACCGAGCGCAGCATTGTGTTCCCCGGACAACATCGCCCGGGCGGCTCGGCCCATTCCTCCGAATTCCCGCCTCCGAGACCCCGTCCGACGTCTCGCTGGGAGATTCCCGAATCGGTAGGCTGCTATATACGATATCGACGCTTCTTACATTTAGGTAAAGGATGGCCTGGGAATTCTCCATTTGGGTCCCAGCAATCGCTGGATGAGGAACCGACCGCCAAGTAGAGCCAGCGAGTGGACCCGATAAGCCGACGAGGGATACCTTCGTTGAGAGGGAAAGAAGGGGAGTACGGTAGGTGGTTATTTGGTTTAAAGGGACTTTGAAGTCAAATTCTACCTGACAGGCTAACAGAGATCGTGAGGAAGCGAGGACAGGCTAGCAGAGATCATTGAGGATGTCCTAACAGGCTAACAGAGTTCATTTGAGCTGGATCTTTCCCACTATCGGTGGGGAAATAAATCCTTTCGTAAGGTCCAAATTCTTTAATATAATTGGTAGTGTTTTGAAATTGTCCTCATCACTACTTTCAAACGTTAAAACCTTACAAGATTTCATAAAATATACAAATTTATCCATTTCCAAGCGATATTTCGACCAAATAAAATTCTAATTTTTCGATTGTTTTTACTTTAAATATAGCTATGGTTTGTAAAAGCTGTATTATAAAACTCTATAAAAAATCAATGAGTCAAAGCTACCTTAAATCTTCATATGCAGATTTTAGATACAACCCGCCACGCCAGCTCTAAGCTCAACACCAAATTTGCAAAAAGTTTTAGTGACTGATTTATCTTTTTCTGCACAGCATTTACATGCAATTTTTGCCCATTTTGCTCACCAACCATGACTACTATAGCTTTATTCCGTTTTCGGTATTTTTGCCCACTTTTTTTGCACAATTCCCAGATGCTCCACGCCTTGTTGTCGATGCCGGTTATCAGTTATTCCCAGAAATGTTTTTTTTGCGATTGATTCTTGGCCTTTTATGCAAATTATGCAGAACACACGCCAAAAAAATGCGTCCCGCGATCTGAAAAAGTATTTATGATTTTTATGTTTTTTCTGCGTTTTATTAGTATTTATTTGCCCTTTCACGATTTTTCGCCTTTCCGATCCCCGTTATTTTTGTGGTTGTGGTACCAGTGAGTTGATCATGTGGATAAATATTATGAAATTAAGGTTTGCGAAATTTTACACACAGTAAATAAGCAAGTCCGCCTCAAAATGAATTATAGAACATTTTATTTTATTTTTATTAGTTTGTAATAACACATCGTTCCTAAATAATCTCTCTGCTAACCCGCCAGGGTTTGGAGATTAGGCCAGTGGCAGGCTAGCAGGGATTCTTTGAGGAAGGAACAAGCTAGTGAGATGCTTTGTGGAGGGGCAGGCCAGCCGAGAATTATTTAGGAAAGGGCAGGCTAGCAGAGATTCTTTGAGAAAGGCAGGCTAGCAGAGATTCCTTGAGGAAGGGCAAGCTAGCAGAGACTCTTTTGTGGATGGCAGGCTAGCAGAGATTCTTTGAGGAAGGGCAGGCTAGCAGAGATTCTTTGAGGAAGGGCAGGCTAGTAGAGACTCTTTGAGGAAGGGGCAAGCTAGCAGAGACTCTTTGTGGATGGCAGGCTAGCAGAGATTCTTTGAGGCAGGGCAGGCTAGCAGGAGATTCTTTGAGGAAGGGCAGGCTAGCAGAGATTCTTTGAGGAAGGGCAGGCTAGCAGAGATTCTTTGAGGAAGGGCAGGCTAGCAGAGATTCTTTGAGGAAGGGCAGGCTACAGAGATTCTTTGAGGAAGGGCAGGCTAGCAAAGAGCACACGGAAATCCTGCAATCTCTTGCAGATCCAAACAAGGAAACCGATTCTCACCAAAATAGTTGCCCATCCTCTTGGATTCGCCAACCAGGTGGGAAGGGCGAGAAAAAATTGAGATCCATCACTTTGAGAGAAACTGCCAAAACGCAATTTTCTTTTCCCCGGGAAATGAACGCCCGGCTATTGATCGCTTTATTCAGTTTGCTAGCTGTTGCGCTGGGTCTGGAATGTTATACCGGATTCACGTATATTCGGGTGAGTTTTTTGAGGGGAAGGGGTAGGATAGAGAGATTTTTGGGGAAAAATTGAGGAAGGGCAGTTAGCTGAAGTCATTTAAACTTACGGACAATCCAGACCAAAGCCGAAATTTAAGCCGAAGCTAAGCCTGAGCCTAAGCCGAAAGAGGCGGCTTTACACCGATCCTTTAGCAATCGTTATGCTAGCGATTTTTCCCAAAGAAAATCATAGAAGCATAGGTTCCAAGATTCCTCAATAACCTCTGCTAGCACTTCCATTCCGATTCCATCAATTTGTCGATATTGCCTATCTTTTGGGTCAAAGTGTTGGAACTAACAAGGAAACATGCAGTTCGCCCAAGGATTTTTGCTACAATGCGACAGCTGATATGACAAACTGAATCTGGTCTCGAGATCTGGGTGCTCGAATCTGCTATGCAAGGTGAGAGAGAGAGGGAGCGCGCGAAAGAGAGAGGGAGAGAGAGAGAGAGAGAGAGAGAGAGAGAGAGGGCGAGCGAGAATCCTAAATCCTTCCAGGTCGCCAAAAACAAATGCATCGATCAGTCGTTCCTGGGAAAAAGACCCGGTTTTGCTGCTGCAACGACGGAGATCTCTGCAATTCGAAGAGAGCGGTAAGGCTTTCAATTTCTTGAGCGAGCAAGCTAGCAGAGATCATTGTGGAAGCGAGGGCAGGCTAGCAGAGATTATTTTCGCCATTCAGGCGATGAACACCGTCGAGAAGTTCGCGGATCGCATGCATGACTTTTCGAAGATTTTCGGTTAATGGTGGATTTCTGTAAGGCGTAAATAAACTTTATCCTCAGGCCAGAACGAGCAAAAATTCACAGGAAATAGACGGAAAGAAAAACACGGATTTTTCTGAGCAGAAAAGGTGGACAGCGCACTAATAAGCCCGGGCCTAAGCCAACATAAGCTTAAACCTAAGCCTAAGCCCTAAACTAAGCCCGAGAAGCTAAGCCTAAACCTAAGCCCTGCCAAGCCTAATCCGATCTAAGCCAAGCCTAAGCTAAGCCTAAGCTAAGCCTAAGCTAAGTCTAAGCTAAGTCTAAGCTAAGTCTAGCTAAGTCTAAGCTAAGTCAAGCCAAGCCTAAGCCCAAGCCCATTGGTGCACCAACAAACTACACGACCTCTAAAATCTTCCAAAAATAAATATCGAAATTTTGGGGAAAGAGATGAGTAGCGAGTGTAGGTACAAAAGCTCTGGACAGGGAAGGGACATTAGAAAATAGATAAAAAAATTTGGATTTATCATAATTTTAAATGAATTTTATAACGGCATTCCATGAAAATAGCGCGCCATCGTTTTGAATTTTTGCTCGAGGATGTCGATGCGGGCCTCCAGCTTCATCTGGTTCTGCTTCAGTTCGCGGTTGTCTTTTCGGAGCTGGAAATTTTGTGGTTTATGGTAGGGAATCTAGCAGTTCTCACTTTTTCATTCGATTGCTGTAGTTGTTCCATCTCCCCACATGATGTCGTCTCGAGTCTAAAATTTTTGTGGCTGGAGAGAGAAAAATAAAGAGCGACAGAGAGACAGAGAGCGAGAAAGCGAGAAAGATGGAGAGAGAGAGAAGGGAGTGAGAGCGAGAGATAGAGATCACCTTCGCATTATCCTTTTCCATCTTTTTGCACTGACGTCTCCACCAAGAAAGAGTCGAGCCGGATGAGCTTGTGCGCTGCCTTCAGCCGAGCACTCTCCCCAAGTCGTTCTTCCATGATTCTGTACTTCCGGTGTATTTTAGGAAGCCGAAGCCTAAGCATAGGCCTAAGCATAAGTCTAAGTCCTTGAAGCCTAGGCCTACGCTAAGCCCAAACCTAAACCTAAGCCCAGATTAGCCCACTTACCCTCCAAGTTGTCCTTATAGTGCATCGAGGCCTCTTGGCCAAAAACAGCTACAGACTCCACGTTACATCAGTCTAACATTGGTGTTATTCATACCGTATTTCTATTTGGCATGTTTCGTTTTCCTACGGTAGTTTCGACTGACCTGCTTGCCGCTGTTGATCATGTCCTCGGATCTGCTTCAAGAAGCCGAATGTCTTGTCGAGGAGAATTCCGTAGGGAAGCAGCCGACGCCCAGAAAGTTCAAATTTTAGATTTCGACCGTAGTCCCTTATTTTGTGGTTTTTAGGAACATTCTAGCTACCGTACCCTACATCCAACGCGGCCCGCATGACATCGACCTGGTTGAGGACGTGCACCTGGAAATTGGCAAGTGAGGCAAGCTAGCAGGGATTTTTGTGTTTAGTATCTATCAATGCACAAATAAGGGCAGGCTAGCAGAGAAATTCTTGGAAAAATGTCTATTAGTGTGTTCATCTACCTGAATACTGGTCAACACGCTGGTCGGATAGTAGAGCCCAGGGTCCTTTTGAACAAGCCGCTGCAGACGCATTAATAGCTTGTCCGACTTGTCGATGAGTTGATAGTAGCCGCTGTTCAGCATCTGCCCACAGATCTCATTCAATGATAAATTTGCGAAGTCGGGCCATCTCAAAAATTTTAGAATTTTTTGGATTTCCAGCGCGTTCACCTCCTGATAGATCATCAACCGCAAAATGCCTTGCTGGAGCACGGGACGAAGGGAGGTCGCCAGATTGACTGGCATTTCCTGAAAAAGCTGATTTTGATTTCTCGTCCTTTCACTTGTGAATCGTGAGCTTCGGAGTCCCTTAAAATTGGTTTCCTATCGATTTTGACATGTCGATTCTTTTAAAAACTAGTCTTGCTTATGAATTTTTAGTTCTATGTTACCTTAAAAACAAATTTTATTATAGATTTTGGCTTCTTGATTCTTTCAAAACGTTTTCCTTATGGATGTTCGTTTCCCGGCTCCTTTAAACCGATTTTTCCTATGGATTTTGACTTCCGAGTCCCTTTAATAAGTTTTCCTATTGATTCTGACTTGCCCGTTCCGTTAAAAACGTTTTCCCTGTGGATTTTGGCCTCCCAGCCCTTTTAAAATTGTTTTCTATCGATTTTAACTTGCCGGTGTATTTAAAACAATTTTTCTTATAGATTTTCGCTTCCCGGTCCCTTTATAAAAGTTTCTCTACAAATTTTGACTTGCCGGCTCCTTAAAATAAACTTTTATTTATAGATTCTGCTTTTCCGGTGCCTAAAAACTATTTTTCCTATGGATGTTCGCTTCCAAGTCCCTTTAAACCGTAAAAACTAACCGGTGCACCCATTTGTGCTGGCGTCATCGAGCGCTCCACCTCGGCCTTTCGACGCGCAGCTTTTCCTAAAAATCACATATTTAAATTTTTTTGCAGAGTTTAAATGGCACCCAAATTGATTCAAATAGCGTAAAACATTCATGCAAGAAGACCGCCGAATTACCGTACCCCCGCATCCACAATTTATCAGCGGATCCGTGCAAATGTCACATTCGGAACGGCGTCTCCCCTCTGGTGTCACGACTGAAACCGAAAGTCCAGGCTTATTAAGGGAAAGGGAAAATTGTTAAGTGGATTAGCGCCGAATACGGTAGATTTTGAGGGTATTTGTCCTTTTTGGATTTGTCGAAGCATACGGTAGCGGCGAAAACGGGTATTTTGCCAAAAGTCCTTGATCGAACATAAAATCGCAAAAAAAACCAGCTGACACCCCGCGTTAAATTTCTCGCAATAATTTGGATTTTTAAGCGCCTTACACGGCTTTATTTTTCAATTTTAGTTCTTTTATGAGACACGGCTTGATTTGAGGAGTGTAAGTTTTACTTTTATGTTCATTAAAAGCGCATAAGAAACGGGAAAATGATAGCATTGTAATAGGAAAGTATGTACCACGGCAGTAAATTATATGAAAACCAAAAAAAATCCTGGAAAAACCCGCTTACCCTCGACAATGGGTCCGAGCGGTGGTGATCGGTCTCTTTCGGCTGGGTTCCCCGATGCGACTCCTCGATCCAGATGGCTGCAACTGGCCCGACTCGACAAGACTCGACTTCCGGGAGGCCAGCAAGGCTGATTGGAACTGAAAAAATAAATGGTCTTCTGAGGTAAGCGCATTTTTAAGCCTAAGCCTAAACCTGAGTCTAAGCCAAGTCCAAAACCAAACTAAACCAAACTTAAGCCAAGCCTAAGCCAAGCCGAAGCCAAGCTTAAACCAAGCCTAAGCCAGGCGCAACCCACCTTGTCATTAATGGTCGTACTGCTGCTGGTGAAGCTCGTGTCGCGCGTCAGTCCGGTCAGCCGTTTTCGTAGATCCGTCAACGAGTCGGCGCCGTTCAGCGAGGAGCCGGGCTCTTCTTGCCTAAATTTGAGTATATATTTGGTTTCAGAGAACCTAAGCCCAAGCCCAAGTCTAAGTCAATACTAACCTATCCACCGTCGCCGAGCTGCCACTCCTTTCCACTCCATTCTGACGGTCCAGGCTAGCGAGACGTTGCCGTAGCCGTTCGGAGCGAGTCCTAAATTCTTTAGTAAAACAGTGCCTTTCAGGAAAATTAGTCAGACGTGTTGTTAGACAAAGTGGACAGAAGGGTTTTCCGGAAATGGGCGGAACCTGGACCTGGTGGAGGCATGGTCAAAGTCTTCCGGGCGGATGGTGGATGAGGTTGATGGGGACCGAGAGAGGGATGCGACAGAGGGTACTGTAGATGCCCACGATGGGGTCAGAAGGGAGGAGCTGCTGCAAAGGAGGAATTTTTGGCGTGTGGTTTTGGTTTTGAAGGTTCTGGTCTGTTAGCGGGGGGACCAAATTTTTCGCTGTGATTTTGTACGGCTCTTTAAAAACCATAATCCATTTTTATACCATTTTACACAGTTTTTAGCTAAAAAAAACATATAATAAATAAAAATATTCGAAAACTTTTAACGTTTTGGATCAAAATGCATGAAAAATAACCAAACGTTTAAAAAATTTCAGATTTACAAAAATTAAAAAAAATTTTTTACGGCTTTCTAGCCATCAGAACTCTATAAAAATTCATCTTACATCATCAACAGGTGAAAATACAGAATGTGTTCCCCCTGCCAACCCCAGCTAATAGTCCAGAACCCTTTGATTTTTTTTTCTTTTAGTTGTATACAAAAGTTTCCGAGTTCGAAATCTTTTTAAAATAGCCTTTAATAGGGTCCATTGAAACTATTAAACCGCTTTTCGTACGTCTCTGTGCGCCTGCCATCCGCTCCCCACTCGACACACACCTGGCCCACTCCACCTGGTAGCGGCTTTTTTATGAATACAAATAGAGAAAGCGGATTTCAGCATTTTTTTACTTTTTTTAGACGTAAAAACTTTACAAATTTTAATGAAAAATATAGATAAATATCGATTTTTTTTGACAGAAATTTCAACCTAAAAATTTTCGAAGTTTGTTTAACTCTTTTCCGCTTGAATTATAGCAAATTTCATTTTGTTTTAAATGAACCAAGTTACTTTCAAAAACTACAATAAACAAATAAAACAGAAATTGACAACAATCTCCTAACGAACCTGCTGCCCGCCTCCAAGCCGTTCGTCTCGCTCCCATATCCGCTACTTCCATTCACCGTCCTCTCATCGCAATGATAGCCGTTCGTCTTGGACACCGGGCTCTCCGGCGCTTCTTCTTGTGGTTTCTCGTCGGTGCTCCGGTTCCCCGTTCAGGTACTTCGAGAGCAGCGCATTTTTTCGTTCTTGGGTGATCGTCGTTCTAAAAAGATAGGTTTTTTAATAATTCTTCGCATCTCTTTTAAACCCCGAAAAATCCTTACGTGTTCGCGTCGCCGTTCATCTTCGGCCCCTCGTTGCCAATATCGCCGTAGCCGAACGTCATCGGCTCGGTCAAGTCGTTTGTCGCCCCGTTCACCGAGCCGTTTGTCGAGCCGTTGGTCAATGGCTTCGTCGAGCCGTTCGGCAAGCCGTTCAGCGGCTCGGTAGTTGACAGCGGGGCAGGCTAGCAGAGATTATTGCGGAATTCAGGATTTCTCACCTTTTTTCGCTCCGCTTCCAGGGGTGAGGGAGATTTTTGGCGTTGAGGCTTGCCGTTTTCGAGGATGGGCGATTTCGTTTCGGTAGCTATTCCGTTGGTTCCGTTACTAAAGTAGGAATGTGTAAAATTACGGTAGAGTACCGTACTTACCTAACTACCGTAGCCTTGGGGACCACCGCCGGGGTCGAACCTTCAACCCTGGTCTCCGTCGTCACCGACTCGGTTCCGTCCGCTTTTTTCACGATTTTTTTGATGACCCTGGAAAATCAGGAGTTTTTAAAGGGTTTGTGAAGTGAAATTCGCGTTTTCCTGATTTATGGTAATTTGCGGAAATCCTGTATTTAAGCATTAATAGTTCACATACCTAAACTGCCTAGCCTAAGCCCAACGTAAGCGAAGCCTAAGCCTATTCCTAAGCCTATTCCTAAGCCTAAGCCCAAGCCTACGCCAAGCTAAACCTAAGCCTGAGCCTAAGTCAAGCTCAGGTCTAAGCCTAACCTAAGCCTAAAGCTAAGCCTAGCCTAAGCTTAACCACTTATCCTCCCGCTTACTTTGCCAATATAAATCGCATAATAGCGGCAAAACACGCCGGAATAGCCAGCGGGCCCAGACCACGGCCAGAGGCGTACGGAGTAGTGTTGTGGAATAGCAAGTGCCGAGTGCCAAGTTTTTGAGCGGCCCGCTGACCGTTGCGGCGAAACAACTGCCACCCGCGAGGGGGGCAGCGTAAAGTATATATGGCCCACACCAGTCGTGTAGCAGCGGGTTTCTCTCTCTCCCTCTCTCTCTCTCTCTCTCTCTCTCTCTCTCTCTCTCGCTTTCTCTCTCTCGCGTCGGCTAAATTTTTTGGACTCCATCGAGATCGGGCTAATTGATGAGGAAATCGGAACGGGGAGCATGAGGTGGCGCTTGGGTTTCTTGGAAAATGTCTTTCAAATGTTCTCTGCTAGCCTGCCCCTCGCTTCCTCAATAATCTCTGCTAGCCTGTCTTGTTTAAAAACCAACCTCTTCTTCTCGCTGGCCACCACCTCGGTACCGTTCGTGCCGTTCGTGCCGTTCTCCGTGGCTCCTGGCGACTTCTTCTTGACGACTCGGCGAATCACCTTCTTCTGAAAAATTAGAAAACTAACTATGAAAATCTAGAAAATTTAAAATTAGTAATTAAACAAAAAAGCAATTTGTTACTGACCTTCGGCGGCGGTATCGCAAATACCCTGGTGACAGGTACGATCCAAAGCGTGTAATTTCGGTCTTTGGCTCTGCTCGACTCGCTGGGGAGAAGCAGAAGACTGCGCGTCCACAGAATCCGGGGTGTCTTCTGGAAAGTAACGTACAGCTAGGCTTGGGTAGCTAGGCTTGGCTTAGGCTTGGCTTAAGAGGTAGTCTTATTAGATCTAAGCTAGGCTTGGGCTCAGGCCCGGCCTAGGCTCAAGCTTAACTTAGGCTTAGGGCAGGGTTAGGCTTAGCTTAGGCTCGGGCCAAGCTTAAGCTCAGGCTTAGCTTAGGATCAGCTTGGCTTAGCTTTGAGCTTCACTCAGGATCCGGCTTAGGCTTAGGCTTAGATCAGGCTTACTTGCCCAGGCTTAGGCTTGGACTTAGGTTTAGGCTTGGGTTTAGGCTTAGCTTAGGCTTAGGCTTCGCTTAAGCTTAGGTTTGGGCTTAGACTTGGCTTGACTTAGGCTTAAGCTTAAGTTCACATACCTTTCTTCCCGGTCCCACAAATCGGCGCACTAGTCGCGGAGAGCAGATGAAACAGCGTTCGCCCGTTTTCGAGCTCGAGCACGAGAAAGGCCCACTTTGAGGGGTAGAGCCGCTAAAAGGGGTGCGATACATTAATGGCGCCACTTTTGTCATACCGTAAACAAATCGATAAGTGGCCGCTTCCAGTCACTCCCCTCTCCCAAGCACCAACTCCAACGCGGCGCCCGGCTGGCCGTCGGTGAACACCGCCGAGGTCTGAAAAAGAGGATTCCGATATTATGGTTGTTTTAAAGGGACTGAGAAGCCAGAACAAACTTTGGAACGTTACGAAATATACTGTAGACTGTAACAATATGGTACTGTGGAGACCAGACTCTCCGTAATGGGGGAGCGGCCTTTTTTGTATAAATCCGCAAATGCTTAGAAACAGAGAAAGCGTTTTAATTTTTTAATACAATTTCAAGCAAATTTAACTATTTAAAAATTCAGAAAATTGTGAAATTTTGTTCGACGACCGACCATTTTTGTCAAAAACGAAAAATGCGATTAACCCCAACCCCACCCCGATAGCAGAAAAGCACCCGAAACTTTAAATGGACTCGGAAGAAACCGATTAAAAAAAATTCGAAGCTTTACAGAAAATAAGGAGCCACAGCAATGAAATTAAGCCAAGAAAATATTGATTTTTCGACAAAAAAGGTTCAGTTTTTGACCCAGATTTTAACTTGCAAAATTTTTCTAGGTTATTGTTCCTTTTTAGCTTTTTCTCAAAAACGCAATTCGACTAATTCCTACTACGGTATTAATAATTTCTGATCGAGAAAAAAGATAGCAAAAAGAGGGCAAAAAAAAGGAAAATATAGGAAAAACCCGCAAGGCACTGTCAGCCTTTTCAAGGGATCGGCAAGTTGCCAATGGCAACGCACCGAAAATCTGTTTAAGAGTGTTTAAGATGTTTTACAACCTAATTATCCACACATTTTTAACTTAAATTTAATTACGTAAAAACCGCGCCTCCAGACACCTCCCTGAAACAAAAGTGGCAAAAGCTAGGGCAGGAAGGGGCAGCCAGCGCGTGCTAGTCGAGTGTCGCCAAATAGATTGGTTTGGGGGGCTGACTGAACTGACTGTATCGGTTGGGGCAGTCTTTAGCTTTCAAAAGAGCAGAACGAGTAGCCGAGGGTAAAGCTGGCAATCGATATGAGGTCCAGGTATCGGGTAGCGGCTAAACTGCAAAACGGCGCTTGTCCGTTGGGTCAGGTTTCCAAAGTGCAACTAGTAAGGAGGTAAAGTATAGCTTGGCTTCAAAGGTTTAAAGCCGCACGTTCACGAATCGTATCGGATGTAGTGGAGAGAAAGAGAGGGAGAGAGAGAGCGAGAGAGAGAGCGAGAATGAGCGGGAGAGAGATCGAGCGGGGGTTGAGAGAGACACGTTCACGCATGGGTATCGGATGTAGTGGAGAGAGAGAGGGAGATAGAGCGAGAGACATATAGAGAGGGGGTTGACGAGAGACCAAGAGAGACCGGGAGAGAGAGAGAGAGAGAGAGAGAGAGAGAGAGAGAGAAAGACACAACATCGCTTAGCAGCCCCAAACTAGCGTAATCGATTACGTAAGTTAAATCCACGAGCGTTGCATAGATTCATATGAGATACATAGCAAAAAGGACGCGGAAAGTCGATATATTTGCAAAAAAAGCAATTCAAAAGCATCGTATGATCTGGAAAAATCTTTAAAAACCCTCACCTTGCTCAGCGGCAGCCTGTGAAGCCCGGCCGGGTCGAAACCGGCGTTGTGGACGTGCGAAATGTCCGGCAGGAAGGTGATCTGAATAAAATTTGAAAGTCATCGATTTTATAGCATGTTAAACAATTATACCTCTTAACTTTCTAATTTACAACTATTATTTAAGTATCTACCTGCTTGCCGAGATGTGGAAACGGCATGAAAAAGGGTTTCGAGGAGAGGTCGGGACCGGGCTCCACTGTGCACTCGATTCCTTCGGAAGTTTCCGGCCAGCGCATCTTGCAATAATTCTGAATTTTAAGGTTGGAAACTGATAGTGGAATTTTTAAGTATAATTGCCAGGCCTCCGACACCTTTAACTCGGGTCATATTGCTAAGAATATGATTTCAGGTATATTGTTTAGCTCTGGAATACCCCTAAAACCCGCTGCTCATTTTTTTGCCTCATTGCAACGCCAGCGGTCCGGAATGTTATTCGGGAAGGTGGCGGAAAGTGTGAACCGCGTGGGATGACATAAAACAGGGTCCGGCCCGGGGTTTTGGCCCCTGGGATTCGCCGAACAGCTGGCAATATTTCGAAATGCGACACAGACAAATCGAAAACAGCTTGAGGAATGTACGGCCGGTATTATAGGTATGGGATTACGCATCTAGCCATAGGCCGGGAACCGGAAGTTGAAAATTAAGGGAGTATGATGAATGGGCAGGAGGTGAGAGGATAAAATACCGATTTCCCGGTTGTCGAGACTCAAATAATATAATTCATCTCTTGCGAACATCGGGTTCCGAGTTCAAAATACCGATTTTTCCATGTCGAAAACGTGGCCAATCCAATACTCCGAACTGCTAAATCGGCTTTTTACGCATACTCCGCATATGTAGACGCTTCCAAAATATCGATTTACGACGCCAAAGGCCTTTAATTGGATTTAGCACTGTGAAGAAGTTGGTATTTTGTATGACCAGATGCAAATTACCAAATTTCCCGATGTTAAACATCAAAAATCTAATTCAACCCAAAATCGGTATTTTTAGCTGTGTAAGGCGATTGGCGCTAGGAATAAAGTTCAAATACCGATTTCACGACACAGAAAGGCAATGAGCAATCTGGGTTCGGTTGCGAAAATCAGTTTGTTTATTAGGGTGTCGATAGTATAGCCAGTGTGTCTTATTTGCTGGTAACAGCATTTTTGCAAGCTCAGAGGCATCTTTCGAAACTGTCGCCCAGCTGCCGCAACCGCGCCAGATTCTCGGCTAACACCGCCGTTTCGATATGTTAAAGCGGACCTTCTTATAGATTCTCTAGTCCACTATCACTGAGCTTCCGCTCTGGGATGGCTTCTAATGGCAGCTGAATCTTTTCTGGGACGCTGCTCTCGGCGCTGGGTTCACCCTTCT